CCGTTTAGACTGGACCTGGATTCGTTCACAGCTCCAATCGAACTTCTTACACTATCCCAAAATTGTCGCAGTCGACTTAAATTTGTAAACAACCTCATTTTTTGGTTAATCCCACAGCGTACACTACAAAAATGAGGAAAAACTCTGGTCAAGTCCCTTGCAAAAGTCTATACTTATTGCGTCACATATACGCACTACCTCAGCTATCCTTTTATTTTTTCAAAATTTTTGCTTTAATAACCCGTATGATCGAGCAATTTCAGTTATCTATCTTTACCTCTAGATCTATCTATCTCTATATCTTATCTATATCTATATCTATATCTATATCTATATCTATATCTATATCTATATCTATATCTATATCTATATCTATATCTATATCTATATCTATATCTATATCTATATCTATATCTATATCTATATCTATATCTATATCTATATCTATATCTATATCTATATCTATATCTATATCTATATCTATAGTTCTTTATCTTTCTATATTTACTATCAATAATTACATGTTTTCAAAGTGCTGTTCGATACTTCCTGAAAGAAATTTATAAACGACGGAAGGCTCTTTAGTTAATAAAATTATTTAAATTTTTATATATCGTGGAAAGTTTCTCCTACATATTGAATAAATTTATATATATAAAAGTATATATTAATTTTCATTTTTGGAAGTGAATCACTACTAATTTTATATATTTATATAATTATTTATTAAAATATTTACCATTTTCAAACAATACCCTCATCCTATTCCCACAGCCACTCTACTTTCTATATCAAATAATCCAATAGAGAGTTTTCAAAATACTCTGTCGTATTAGTGACGCTTTCTGGCCATGAACCGTTAGCACACTTTTAGCTGTGTGGCAATAACGTGCAAATATAAGAAAATATGTTCTAGGCTGAAGAAAATCTGCAATTTTGTTTATGTGCAACTGGTTTACCTATGCGCCACATTTAGCAGCCGAATTTGTTAGGTGTACTTAAAATTAAGAAAATTCCTTTATTCGGACTCCTTTTATAAAAGAAAATCACATTCAAAGTCATTTCAGTGCCACCCTAATGCACTCATATGTGCGCTTTCTCCCATCACACTCTCACGCGCCAGCATTGACGGCTTAAGCTAATGGCGCGCACTTGGCATTCCTTGTCTGCGTGTGCATTTGACAGCTCGAGCTGCTCCCGCTGCTCCTTCAGCAGATATGTACAAATGTGGCACTATTTCAAGTGTATTTGCAACGTAAATGATTTATTTGCATTTTCAAGAGCTACAACAACAATAGTTGATATTTGTATGTGCTCATACGCAACTCACTGCCTTCTTATCCTTTCACGGTTCTTCTGTGCCGTCTTGCTTTGTGTCCTGTCGTCTTGCTGTTTGCGGCGGTATGCATGACAAATTGTTGCGGCAGCTTTGTCGATAAGTTCTCCTGCCACGCACTCCTGACAACCGCAAGTAATGCTTTAATATAATATATTTCCCGTTTCTTTGCAGTTTAGCGCGACTCGCATTTGGCATTCGTGTGCGTTTTACTCCTTTCGCGCATTTTTTATCGCATCAGTGTGCATAGACAATTCTTATGCCCATTGGTGTTGTTGTTCTTTTTCTGGTTTATTGCCTTTAATAATCTTTGCAAATATTTTGCATTCCACTTGATTTTCCTGAGCGCTCACACTACTATTTCAAAGCTTGCTACAATTCTATAAAGATATTCTCATATTATAAAGGAGTTAGAGCATTAAAAGAACGGAGTTTATATAATAAACTTTGACGTAACTTGACATTGAGTATTTGATTTATGGTTGAAACGGCGGAAATGCGCTTAAGATTGGAATATGAATGCAGGCGGTAAACTCACGTATATACTAGTGGCCTCACTTCAACTCGATCTACCCCTCTACCTATCATTTATATCTAATACTTACATGAGAGCATAAAATATAGATGTGAGTAAATTCAGATAAAGGAGAAAATAAACTCAAATCTGGTAAATTTAGGCGAAATACATTTGACTATGGTGAATTCATATTTTGTACCACTTTAACCACTTTTATACCAGTTTAACAAACAATTTAGAGTAGTTTGAATTCAATGTGTGTATAAAATACTTGCGTATTACAAAAATCTACTTTTGGTTAAGCACATATATCGAATACACATATACTAGAGAATATTCTTCGAAAATTTAACGTTAATCCGTGGTACAGTTTCTATATATTAGCGTATTTGCAAAAATTTTAACTTAGTGTAATCGGCTCCCAAACCTTAAAGGAGCTTTGTCAAAAATATTATTTCAGAGGTTTGTGAGTAAATTTCTACGAAACGGCTGGACGATTGAGGTAAAATTCAGGTAATGCTCAAAGGAATAAGAATTTTGATAATATTTTCGATTTTTAGTCATTCAGAAATATAAATTCTTCACAAAAATCGATTTATTTAAAAATAAACCGTCGTTTTGACGAAAATCAAAATTTTGTTGACGAGTCCTTTGATCTTTATCTATATGCATCCACAATAATAAATGTTTTGGTTTTGCATTTGTGATCATTTCAAGCAGAATCTCCTTCACCGCCAAACACCTTTTTCGGAGGTATTCTAAAATCGCTACGAATCAGAATCTAAAATTTTCAAAGAGAAATAAATTTTGTAAATGTACGTTATTTTTAATTATTTATTAAAAACAAGGCCTGATGAAAGAGTTAACAAAAATGCATTTTCTGACTAAAGTGAACATAACTTCCTAAATATATGTAAATATATAAAAAAAATGAATATAAATTTATTTTTCAGTGTCAAAACTTTCAAAAGAATAAGTTTATACCACTTTAAAATTTATACCAGTTTTATGTCAGTTTTATACTGTGTTGCTATATTAATATCTAAATTGAGAAATATGAATAAACTAGGGCTACTTCAAATGTGGTTATATAAGAATCATAATTATACCAGTTGAGAGATAGGTTTACTTTTACGCACGATTTTGTTTGCAAGAGAGAGATTTTGATATAGAAAGCATATGATTTTGATCCATTGCAACCAGTTATACCAGTTCAGTGTATGTTATATGTGTGTGTTTATCCCTGCAGCTGAACTTTCTCGCTATTATGAGTAACAAAAAAGAGCTGCTTTGATTTATGTTGTTCTATTTTAAACTGGTATAAAATTTGTCAGTACGAGTTTATTGTTATTTTACTTAATGACGCATTTTACACTGACCTAATTTTATTGTTCTTATCTCAAATAACGTTTAGCTGTGAAGAAATATTTTTATTTTAGGGTCTTTAAACTGGTTGTAAATTTTATTGGTTTGCTTATAAAATTTTAAATTTAATGCAAGGTGAACAGTTTTCCCTTATCGATATAATGATGATATAAATTAGTAAATTCATTTTAACTTAAATAATTTACTTTACACTCTTTTTCTGTTAAAATAAAATGTATTTTCATATTGATGTTTCTATGAAACTGGTATAAACTAGCAAAATTCATTTTAACTTAAATAATTTACTTTACACTCTTTTCTGTTAAAATAAAATGTATTTTCATATTGATGTTTCTATGAAACTGGTATAAACTAGCAAAAAAATGTATATTCTAATTATTTTGGACATAATTAAAACTAGTTTAGTGCAACTTGAGCAGTTTTTTTCATTTATTGTGAACTGGTATAAATTATAAATTGTTTTTAACTTAAATATTGTACTAAAAATAATTTTTTTTTTATGAAAGAAAATTTTAAATAGTGTCAAATTTTAATTTTTGTGTTTCCATCAAACTGGTATAAAATAGCGAAAATTCAAAAATTGATAACTGGTTTACTTTATATCTAAAAAATTTGCTGAGCTGTGAATGGAACCGTTAAAAATTAGCAAAATATTTTTAGACAAGAATATTGAGTTTACTGAAACATTAATACCAAATTATTGCCAATATAAAGATACACACATATACCCGAATATTTAACAAGTTTCAAATATACATACATACATATATTTATATACGTGCCTATAATGCGGACTACTTTTAAATATTTATTTACTATTTGTCTTATAAACTTACCCATCAATTAAATATTTCAAAGAAATAAATATAAATAAAATGAAACACATGTATTTATAGTTAATTTCTAAGTTAAACTGTGTTTATCATATTGTACTATATGTATGTATCTATGTAACATATGTACATATAACATCATATATAATATTAATAGACTAAGTGATAAAAAGCATATTTTTTATGCAGAAATCCTCAGAGTGCATAATTATGCAATAGAGGGCGCCAGCAAACACAATTACAACTATTTATTATAAAATGTTTTTACTATAAACAACAATAAAATTTAAATGGATTTTCTAATTAAATGAGTTAGCACCAACTCACGTAGCTTGCCTACACAAGCGATTAAGCACGCTTATGCAATAAAAGTCATTTTCGTGTCTCCAATAGTTATGCTAGTCTACCTGAATTTGACCAGTTTTTTGTTCGAATCTCCTATCTCACAGTTTTAGTGATTAGGAGACAACTAATGATAGTTTTGTAAATAAAAAGTAATTTAAAACTTACACAAAGATAAAGGACTGAAATAATACTAGCTATCCACCCAGTGCCCATATTTTTATTACGATACCTTTGAATATGTTCGCCAGCAATAAAAAACAGCTCCACGACCATCTACCAACAGATAACTAGCGCACGATTGGGTTATATGTGGAGCAGTATAGATCACGTAATAACATGATTTGAGTGGGATCTTAATAAGGCTCAAGATCGGTTTAGGTCCGGCGCGCAGCGTAAAAATGTTTGATATTACAGTAATGTCATCTCTGAAAATAACGTACAAAACCGGTTGGCTTCTCGACGATTACAAACAGTGTTATAGATCGCTAACTGCAGATTATTTATTACCTGGTTCTAGAGTGAAAAACGTTTTGTGTAGCAACTCTAATTTATAGTGTGTATCATAATAAAAGTCCTTAATATATTGTCTTCACCCCAACTATACTAAATTTTATTAGCAAATATTATAACTCAACTATTGTTATACGTATATATATATATATTTTTATTACATATAATTTTACCATACTAAATGTATAATTCATTCATCTCTAAGCCTTCTTGCACATAGACTTTTCTGCCCACTTCCAACATGCCTGATTTTCTAACCACACCAAATTTATGCGGCAAAGCGTAACGTAGTTTAGGCCAAAATCTTGTATCACCCCATTCCAAGTAGGTATTTAATTTCATGTAGGCCAGCAATTCATTATCCAGACGCGTCAAATCCGTAAGCTCACCATACTTTATGATAATTATGCGCGTGCGACCTTCATTCAAAGCGCACTGATGTGCGGTGCGAAACTCCAAGCGCCCCCAATCTGATTCGATGAAATGTTGTGAAAGCACAATAATCGTGCGACACGATTGCTCAACAGATTCCATTATTTGCTCGGGTATATAAACGCCGGCGAGCCAATTTCGTTCGTGTGTGCAAATGCGAAAATGTGTGCGACCTTGCTCCAAGCCCGGTATCAACACGGTATTGACAAAGTGCTGATCTTGATGCGCATACGAAATGAAGGCATCGAAAGTTTTATGCTTATCCAACTCGTGCTCCTTGATGCAACATAAAAATATGTTGTGACCGAAGAACCAAATTTTCACCATTAACTTGTATTTGTAAAAGAGCGCAACGAGCGCTAGTATAAGTACAGAAGTGCTAAACACACCAATAAGCGGCGCGTACAAGCTGGCATACAGAAAGGGTGTCTTACATATTTCATCAAAACGCGCATTCAACAGCGTGACATTCGCAAAATTTGCGCACATTAAACTACTGGCATCGGGTATGCGCGCGCGCTGTAAGCGTACCACACGCAACAGCTCCTCCGACTCGCAATCGCATAACCACGGATTGTCACCGAGATATAAGGCTTCTAATGTTGCGCTCTCATTTAGGTATGCGCGTAGAAAATCAACGCTTAAACGCTCCAGCTGATTGTCGCGCACATCCAACGTCGTTAGATTGTGCGGTAAATGCGTTGGCTGCAGAGCGACAAGCCGATTATGCGCGGCGTGGATGTGTGTCACGTCCGCGTAACCGACCGTAATATTCGCGGGCAGTTCGTAGAAGTTATTGTGTTCGATGTAAAGCGCGCTGCTGTTAAGCGCAAACTGCGCGGCATGTGGCAGTTGCATGATGCCCTCAAGATGCGCGTTCGTACAATTCACAACAAGCGCTTGTGTGTCATAGTCACACTCACAGCCTGCAGGACAAAAAGTCGGTGTCCAAGGACAGAGCTGGCTGCGCTGCAACTTTTTGAGTGGCTTACGCGCCAATGACGCTGGCGTTGCACAACTCCAGTCAACATCTTTCGTTAGAAAATCGCTGCTATACAACCAAGCAAGTTTGCAATCACAGTGCAAATGATTGTAATTTAAATTCAATGTGCGCGCACACTTGCCTTTAGTGCTCGACGGCCGCCTAGCGGCGTAAATAGTTTTAATTTTATTACGCGAGAGATTCAGCTCATAAGGGCAAGCTAACCCATCAGCGCCACTAACCCAATCAAAATTGAAGTGCGTAATTTGATTTCGGCGTAAGCTTATAACGGTCATATTAAGTTCACGTTCATTATAAGCGCCGCGCTCAATGCTCACATACTCAGGGAATTCGGGTAGCGTTGCTGGATCTCTAATATCGCTGCGTGTTAATAGCGTCCGATTGCTGTATATGCCGGTACCCCAAATGCTGCTGAGCGCATTATTATCCAAATCGAGTTTGTAGAGATAGTGCAGAGAGCGCAACGCGGCGATGATATTGGTAGGCGTGTAAAAACGGTTTTCGGCTAAATGTAATTTCCATAACAGAGGAGTATGCGCGAATATACGCGGCGGCAGTGCACTCAAAGCATTCATACTCAAGTCGAGTATGACCAATTTGTGTTGCGCGGCGAATAGATCTTCGGGTAAACTTTGCAACTCGTTCAAACTCAAACTCAAATGGTTCAATTCGTGCAGTGTGTTGAAAATTGTTGGGTGCAGTTTCTTCAGCTGATTCGCATCCAGCAGGAGACTCCTCAATGCATGACAATCACGAAAATGTGTGTTCGTTAAATTTTGTGCCGACGTGCGTTGCGAGTTCAGCTTTTCGTAGTAGCCTGTGTCAGCGTTATACACGTAAATCGAGAGTATTACTAAAGTTTCGAGTTTATGAAAGAGTTCCACAGGTATGGTGATCGCTGGCGCGTCACTTACAACTATCAACTCCAGCTCTCTCAGTTCCGTTAGTTGGTGGAAAAGTTGCACTGGCAAGCTGACTTCCGAATCCGACGTAGTTATATTAAACACTAACAACAACAAACCGTTTGTATGCGAAAATAGACGCTCAGGTACCGTTACATCGGCAGTAAATGACACATGACCCACGTAAGTGATGTTCGGGCGCCGCAGCATAGCGGGCAGTTGTTGACAATTGGTCAGATCGTAGTAGGTATTGTTATATACGAATTCGTGCGTTACTTGACTTAACAGCGGGTCTATATTTTCGGTCGCGCCTTCACATTTCATCGTTATCTTGTCTTTTCCCAAATCCCAAGAAATAGTAAGCGTCACCGCACCATTAAGGTCGCTCAAATAGCAATTGATTAGTTCTTTTTTGCACTGACACTTGTTTTGGTAACAGCTTTTGAATGCGTTTTCGGGCCCATTTGGCTTCGGCTGCAGCTTCGTTAGCAACGTTTGTTTTGGTGTTGCCAAATTGGTGTACACCACGTCGGCGCAAAGTAAGTGTAGTAAGAACTGTAGTACCAAGCTTTGCTTTTGAGTTATTTGTTGGAACATTCTAAATCGTGCTTATAAATATTTAAGGCATCGGCAAAGCTTTTCAGTACTTAGCCTCGAAGGTGTGTGAAAGCTGAAAAGAGCAAGTAAATAGCTAAGTATTAAAATACATTATGACGCATTCTAAGGGGTAAGGGCACGTACTGCTCCAACTTTCGTTTGCAGAAAGGTTTTCGCTAAGCTCTCTAAAGCTCAAAAAGCTCCAACTCGTTTCCTTACTTCTTAGCGCCTTATCTTTCCTTTTATCGCTTTTTCTGTTTATTTAGCTTTCATCCACTTAATTTTATTTAAACAGAATGCTATCACGAATTTAAGTATAGTATACTAGATATAAGTAAAAAATAAGACTTGGGTATAGGTGTAAGCCGTGAGAAATCTTGTAAAATTAGCTCCACTTATATAACGCTCTGAAACGAATATCCAATTTGAACTTAATGGTTTGATAGCGACAGACAAGTTTGAAAAGGCTCATCTTTTGACTTCAAATGCTATGCTAATTAAATATTTCGACGACTCAGAGCTGAGATCTTTATTAACTAAGGACTGGGTTGATCATAATACTCAAGTAGTTTGATACATTTTCTGGTATCCTGTTCAGAATCGATGAAGAAATTAAGGGAACAGTTTAGAATAAATAAAAATTCTATTCCCTTATGAAGTATTCGATGTTAATTAGCAGCTGCTTCAGAAATGATGGAGAAATTCGAAATACAAATTTGCAATATCTTCGTAAATTAGATAACTTCACTGACTTCGAAATGCTTCTGTAGATATAAGATCGCTTTTTCAGCATTACGTGCGGTATTTTATAATCCCTATTGAATGGTTACAGTCACCGGTTTCTCCAACTTCAAACTAGTCTCCAGCCGGAGGATATCTATTGGTTTGGTTGACCTACGTCCACCAAGTATCTATCAAAATCACTTAGAGAAGTGATTGATCTTCCTTAAGTGTTGTAAGCAGAACCTACAGAACTCGCTAACTACAAATAAAGCTCAGTAAATAGTAGAAAATTCTGCTATTTTGTATATGTTTTATATCAAACAGAATAATTCCAGATGAGAACAGTTTGCGACTCGTTCGAAACCGATTCGAAATACTTCCCATTCGGTTCCCACGACAGTCGTTTTTGTCAAAACTAACCTTTTCAATTGAAACGAGCACAGCCTGTCATTGCATTCTCTAGAATATAACTTGTTGAACTATGCAAGAACTGTCATAAGGTAGCAAGGCATACGCTTTTATTTTCTTCTTTATTCGTCATCGCTACGGCAGTCTATTTCTCATAGACTCGCCAGGAGGAGCTTTGCTGTCTGCTACTTAGACCGCAGGAAGCGATTCTGGCGAGACTTAGAAGGTCTCGTTTTGCGAAAAGATCCATACTTAATGCACTAAATAGTGCAGAAGGGAAATATATATTTGCCTAAGCTTGAAAAAGAACTTTTGTTTTAAAATTCCAAAAATCTGCTAAGCTTTTATTTACTTTCCATAAAACGCAAGTACTTTGTGACAAAAATGAGATTTAAATATTAATTTGCTAGTCCACATTTATTTATTAATCGCCATCTGATTCAACTCCACTTGTCCACGCACATAAACTCTTTCGCCCACCTCGAGCATACCGGCTTTCCTGCCTTCGCCTCTGCGATGTGGCATAGCGTAGCGCAGTTTCTGCCAGAAGCGCAGATCTTCCGACTCCAGGTAGGTGTTCATACGCAAATAAGCCTGTAATTCGCTGTCAAGCCCCGTCATATCGCCAATCTCACCATACTTAATAATAATGATGCGCGCACGACGTTCGTTTACAGCAAACTGATGCGCCGTCTTGAATTCCATGCGCGCCCAAAGCGATGCAATAAAATCCTGCGAGAGCACAATGATAGTGCGACGCGATTGCGCAACTGACTCAACAATTTGCTCTGGTATGTAAGCGCCAGCGAGCCAATTGCGTTCATGTGTGCATATGCGAAAGTATGGTGCCGTTTTCTCCAGCCCAGGTACGAGTACCTGGTTCACGTAGTCTGACTGCTCGTGCGCATATGAGATGAAGGCATCAAAAGTTTTGTTACAGTCGATTTCATCAATGCAGCAACAAGCAATGTTCACATTATGCGCATGCAACCAAATCTTTAGCTCCAACTCGTATTTATAATACAATGTAATGCAAGTCAAGAGTGTAAGTATTGTAAGAAAAGTAGCAGAGAGCTGTGTCATTAAAGCCCAACTGCTGCTGGGTAGCATACAAATATCCGTGAAAGTCGCATTCGCGAGCGTTATGTTCGGAAGATTTGCACAAAACAATTCCTCGATATCTGGTATGCGACTGCGGTGTACGCGCAGCGTATACAAGAAAAGCTCTGTTGCGCAATCGCACAGCCAGGGATTGTCGGAGAGATAAAGCGCCGTTAGCGTGGCGCTGTCGTTTAGATAGGCGCGCAGAAAGTTCTCACCCAAGCGCTCCAGTTGATTCGTGCGCAGATCTAAGATGCGCAATGCTGGTGGCAAATGTATTGACAGCAGCATATTTAGACGATTGTGCGCCGCATATAGGCGCGTAACATTCGCATAACCGAAGGTGGTATTCGGTGGCAACTCGCGAAAGTGGTTGTGCGTAAGATTGAGCGTAGTCTCCGCGAGCGACAGCTGTTCGGGACGCGGCAGCTGACTAAGCGCTTGTAGCGCTGCTGCACTGCAATCGATTAGTAGCGCATTCATATGCCGTGTACAACGGCATTTCAATGGACACCAGGCAGGTGACCACTCGCAAAGCGCGTCGCTGCGCAAATTTTGTAAATCGCTACCGTACAAGCGCTCCGGCGTCGCGCACTGCCACTTAACGCCAATTACAAGCAAATTTGTATTGTAGATCCAAGCTAGTTCACAATCACACGCTAGCGGGTTATGCACTAAGTGCACTTCTTGCAGACAAGTTGCTTTTGTTGGTGACAAGAGCGCATGTACATGGCGTATGTTGTTCCTTGCGAGATCAATATAGTAGGGGCAGCTGATGCCTGCTGCCGCAATCCAGTCCAATGAAAAGTATGTGAGTTGATTAGCTCTCAGTATCACCTCTGTATAGTTCAGTGGCTCAACCTCACGCAAGCCCGCGACATACATAGCCATCTGCTTGAAATTGGTCAGCGCTTGCACATCAGTAATACGGGCGCGTGTGAAAAGCGTGTGATTGCGGTAAATATCTGTGCCCCAAATTGTCTCTAAGCCATTATAGCCCAAATCGATTTTGCGCAAGTAACTAAGCGCATGCACATTTTCTATAATACTTGTCGGTACACTGAATCTATTTTGCGCGAGTATGAGCTCCCAGAGCAGCGGAGTATTGTCAAATATGCCTTTGGGTAATGCGCTTAAGTGATTCTCTGACAGATCTAGCAGTAGCAGTTTATGCTGCATACGTAACAAATCACGCGGCAGCTCCTCTAGGCTATTCAGTCGCAAGCTCAGACGTCTCAACTCTGGTAGTGTCGTGAAGAGTTCGCCAGGTAGCGCCATCATATGATTTGCGTCTAAATTCAATTGTTTTAGCGAGCGCAGATCGCGAAAATGCTCGCTTTGTATGTCGCGTACGCTTGTTTGCAGCGCTATGAGCTCTATGGAGAGTGTTTCCAAATTGTACAGTGTGTGCAAAAGCTCGAGCGGATAGCGTACTTCTGGATACGCAGTGTAAATCTTCAATTTCAAATGCTGCAAATTCGTTAAATTATGAAATAGTTGCGGGGGTAATGGGTTCTTGACATAAATTAATCTCACTGGCACGGTCAACTTCTGCAAAACTGGCGTTTGATTGAAAAATCGCGGCGGAGTCTCTAAGAATTGATCGAATTCCACAATACCTTCGTATGTTGCATGCGACTGCTGCAGTAAAGCGGGGTATTCCAAACAGTTTTTCAAATAATATTCTGTGGGATCTGCTAACCTTACGGGTGGCATCATATTTAGCACCACATTTAGATCCTCAGGTTCATATACGCAAGTTATATTTAATTCGTACACGGTGACGAGATCGGTGCGGTCGTCCCATGTTTGTATTCTGGCTTCTACGTTGACTAAGCTGAATTTACCCTTTAAGCGGCATTCGAAGTTCACAGTAGTGCATTCACACATTTCGCTATTACAGATTTGTGGCTGCTTTGGCAGTTCGAGCTTGACACCTGACAACCCTGGTAGCGTTGCCAATGCGTAGAGTGTTATTAGGCGCAAAAAATGGCGCCTCATTTTGTTGAACAAGTATGTCGTGACCTGCGTCAAAAAATGTGATCAATCAGAAATCATTCGGTGGTTCGAACGCTTTTCATTACAAAAATAGTCGCAGAAGTTTTCGATATCATGCTTGGAGTGGCTGTCTTTAGGTAATATCCTTATAACCAAGAGAGTTGTTTAGATAATTATCAGCCAGAGAAAATATGTGATTTAATGTCGGTTTGACCTAGTCCGGTAATGTCAAAGAGCATATCGTTGAGATTCTCCATCAAGCAGCTAGGAAAGGTCAAATATTAGTACAGTGAAGTTTAGTGAAGTTTACTTCTGATAGAATTACCTTCTGGTAATCTATCTTAAAATATGGATTACAAAGTATGTCAATTAGTTTCCTTTATCCTCTCCAGTGAAAAAGAAAGAAAATGTGGAAAGCTTATAATGATAATGTCATTTACCTAGAGTAAAAATCTCGTTCTCGTGAAATTTAGTTCGACCTGATGGAAACATTAATCGTAACTGCTGTATTAAGTGCTAGTTCAGAACTAGTGAATTTTATTTTGAAAAGAAAAGCAGGTTTCTAGCTTTCTCTTTCAGGTGGCAACGCTATTCAAACATACTTGATCTTCTAAATTTTCAGTTCAGTTTGATAAAGGAATATGATATATAATAATTTAACTTATTCAAAACAAAAATCAGTGGCAACCCTCGCTGAAAATATGTTGAACGTCAAGACTTCATCAACTCTTTAATTTCATATATGTACATATAAATATGTATGCAGATTGTAAAATTTAATATCTTTTTAAAATAAAAAAGTTTTTACTTTTTCAAAAAACATTTTTAACTTTTGCACAACTATTTCGTTTTATGTTCATAAAATGCAGATTTGCATCTTTTATTCATTATACCAATGAATTGAATAAAAAATTCAAACAGGTGGCAACTATGTTGAAAAAATATTTTTGGCCGCAAATTTTTTAAACCTCTTTAGCTGTAGTCATATTTTGTTCACATTTAAGTATGTTTAAAATGTGTTTAAGATTTTTAATCTTTGTTGAGGAGTATTCCGGCGAACCATCCAAAAGTATGATCAGATCGGCTCAGCGTGTCTTATTGTTTCTATATCCGTATAGTGCGATCGTGACGGAATTTTGTTGCGTAACGCAACTTCGTTGCAGTTCAGTTTAAGGAAGTTTCACCTCAACTATTGATAAATGTATTGTTAAAGCTTTAGTTTATGTTTACTGATATACCCAAATATTAATTTTTTATTTGCAATTTTTTATGAATTTCCAAAAAATTATCATTCAAAAAAATTAATTTTAATATTTTTGCATACTTTTTAAAAACACTTTGTCTACCCGAAACTTTTTTCAATAACTGTTAAAATTTACTTGTCTATATATACATGTGCATATACATATGTACAAACATATATTTTAAATTGATTAAATTGAATTATTTCTTTAAATTGCACAGAATAGCAAGCTGTTGCACACTCGTTCACACTTCAGTACAATTTTCACACTTCAACACTCAACTAACGACTGTTCGCAAATTACCCATCGCATTGGTTTGACAACATACAATAGTCATAATTTCTTATTAATACTATATATATATATGTACATATGTACATACATATAGATATAATCTGGAATATATATGTACAATTTTCATCTAATAATAGTGCAAAGCACTGTTTCTTAACGATTACGGAATTTCCACGTAAAAACTGGTATACTCATTTATTAAATAATGAATGCATTCAAATAAGATGTAATGTACACCCACAGTGTTGGTGAAAATAATGCCATTTTCTATCATGCTATTGCAGTTAATGCCCAATTGGAAATCTGCCGACAACTTTTTGTAAGACTTGTTTTGAACTCTATTTCTGGCACACCGATTATAATGCACTCAAGTTAAGTTTCTGCTAATAGATGGCAACTCCATTTCAAATCAATTTTGAATAGACAAGCATTGATTTTTCAAAAAGCTTTTTTAAAGTCGTTGTATTTAGCGCAACTGTTGTAATACAAACGTTTTACTTTTCAATAGGTGGCAACAATGGTAATTTTTTTAAAATCAAAGCCAGGAATGCTTGTTTACATACTTTTTAAACTCAAGAAATTTTGCAAAAATTTTGTGGCATATTAGTTAATTATTTAGTGATAAGTGGCAACTCTATTCCAGGATATGTAAAATTAAAAACTACCCAAATATTTTTCGGAAGACTTTCTAAAAAGCTTTATATTAAGTAAACCTTTATTACACATTTCTAATTTTCAGGTGGCAGCCCTATTCCGAAACAGGTTAATATTACAATCAGAAATATTTTCATACAAGCTTTTAAGCCTGCAATCAAATCCGTTGACGCAAATTTTTTAGTATATTATGCATTTAATGTATTTTTTAGGTGGCAACTCTCTTCCAAAATATGCCAAAATTGGAAATTATTTAGATTTTAATTGGAAGATTTTCTTAAAAGCCGCATGCTTAGTACACTTTTTTATAATATACGCCTTTACTTTTCGATACGAGGCAACTCTATTCCCAAATATAACCAATTTAAATTTAATAACTTTTAAGAAATTTTGAAGATTCCAACAATGCTCTTCGCATACAATTTACACTAATTACCGTAATTTTCATTTCAAGTTTTTTCGATGTGTGGCAACCCTATTTTGTAATATTTCTAAATTGTTGATTATCCAACTAATTCGTAAATGTTATATTAGACCACCTTTAATAAAAAAAATATTGTTTTCAATGGGGGGCATAAGTCTAAATTAAGAATCTCTATAATTATAATATTTCGATTCATTTCCGTTCGATACATATTTTGCAGTTTTGTTGTGCCCTTTTTTTGTTCGTAAATGACAAATAATACAATATTTCTTGCTTAAGTGGGGTGCTATGTTAAATTAGTCTACTTAGTATATAACTATAATCCCCAGCATAAGTAACATGTATGTTATAAGTATTACGAGCTGGAATAAAATTCTATATCTTTATCTATATCTATATCTATATCTATATCTATATCTATATCTATATCTATATCTAATTATAATCTATATATATCATATCATATCTTATACTATATATCAATCTATATCTAATCTATATCTTATCTATATTATTCTATATTTATAATCTATTCTATTCTATCTATACTTATTTATCTATTCTATTCTATATCTATATCTATATCTATATATCTATATCTATATCTATATCTATATCTATATCTATATCTATACTATATCTATCATCTATATCTATATCTATATCTATATCTATTTTCTATCTATATCTTTATCTTTATCTATTATATATCTTTACTATCTATATCTATATCTATATCTATATCTATATCATATCTATATCTATATCTATATCTATATCTACTATCTATATCTATATCTATATCTATATCTATACTATATCTATATCTAATCATACTCTATATATCTATATCTATATCTATATCTATATCTATATCTATATCTATATCTATATCTATATCTATATCTATATCTATATCTATATCTATATCTATATCTATATCTATATCTATATCTATATCTATATCTATATCTATATCTATATCTATATCTATATCTACATCTATATCTATATCTATATCTATATCTATATCTATATCTATATCATTAGTTTGACTAAGACTGTCGTAGAATTTGACATACTGAAAACTCCACATTATAAAGTATAAACATACTTTAGAAACCTTACTTAAAACATAATCTCGCTTGCTATATCCGGAAGACCATTTCCCATAATTCTTATTATACAATATGCATGCATGCATTCGCAGAACTGTGGCTACTCTCGTAAAAATCTTATCTTAATTTTTTCCAGAAATCAGCTTAAGCATTTTGTGCATGTCTAATATATAAAGTCTTTTATCAACACAAGACGCGGTATATGGAATTTCATATCGTACGGTTTTCACAGTCGTATTCAGTGTGTTCAATTTTGCAATGGAATAGAGTACTCAATGTGAGCGGGAATTAGAACGTTCAAATTGTTGAGTAATATTATATGTATGTAAGTTGAAAATAAATACATAGATATAGAAATGTTGAAATATTGCGTTTGATCAGTAATATAAATTTGCGGGTTTCAAAAAAAAGTGTGAAGTAAAATAAGAGTTTTTATAAAATGGACAATAAAAAAATGCTTGTCTCTCAACCAGCAACGAAGTAATGCTTCACTACTTATGCATCGACTCAACAGACAGTAGCTGTGCGTGTTATGAGTGATTAGTGAAACATCGTCTCGGTTCGTCAAGTCAAATCGATCTCTCTCTGTTGTTTTAAAATCAAACAAACATTTGTTAGAAGTGAGGGTATTGCCTTTTGGAGCTATCGTTGTGAGAGTGGCAGCGAAAACCTTCCACATATAATTTTTAGGATGCCTACCGACTTTAGAGATTCTAAAGGTACTATCATTGAGAAATATTAGTATTTTCAAGGCAGTTGTAATTCTTTAAGTCAACTTTGTGTGTGTTGTCAGAGGAAAGCAGAATAAAATTGGAATAAAATGGAATGTAATCAACTGGCAGAGTCTAACGCAAGACCTTAGCTTTATATTACGGTTCTTATTTTTATCATTTCGGCACTTGCAAAAAATTACTGTTATGATTTTATGATCTTCGGTTTTATAATTTATTATTTGGGAGAGCAAGTCAAACAATACCAAGTGTCATATAACGCGAAAGTGTACTTTTGACCACCCGCGCCGTAATGTAAGATAAAATATAAGTAGAAATTCCACAAATTAAAATTAGTAAAAACAGTTTTCAAAAAACGTTTGCAAATTTCTTTTTCATAAATATTGTTGGTTCTGCTGCTCTTTATATTAATAATACCCACAGTCTTCTACTCAATTTAATCAGTACATTTTTAAGCCTTTAGCAGAGATATTCATCTAGCTCACATGGCTTTAGTTATGAGCTGTATTAACACCCATAGTCATACAATTCGTATGACTAATATCAGAATAACCTGGCGCCAATGTTACGTCATTAAATTTTTCCATTTCGACAGCGCATTACAGCTTGAAATTAGCTGCTAACGCAGATGTGAAAAAGAAACACTATAAAACTGAGAAAGATGTTTACAATATTTACTGGTATATACTTTTTACTGAAATAATAATATCATTCATTATTTTTTAAACATTGAGCTGCATTAGAGATTAGTTTCAAGAAAATGAGAAAACGTCAATAAATTCTACACATTTATTTGGCATATCCCGACACTCGCTCTCATTGTTTGTAAAAGCGAACGCTACAAATATCAAATGTCGAATAAAGTGAAGGAATTTCACTTTCACAATCTTCGCACTTCGGTCAGATAAGGTATAATTACATTCGCGCGTATTTTCAACACGCACAAAATATATTCATAATTCTTATTTTCAACACCCCAAGGTAGTCAGCGGTAAAGGAGAGCGATTAGAAAAATATACTGAACTTTTAAGGACTGAGGTTTGAACTTAAAACGCAAAAATACAAAAATGCAGGCGACTAAAGGTGTTAGTCTGATTAAATCAAGTTGTGGTACAGAGAGATTCGAAAATCTAGAAAATAACAAAGTTTGTGCTAAATGTTTTCATAAGATCGTGCCAAATTTACGATCAAAGCTTTCTAGCACTGCAGCTGCCTGTAGCTAATATCAGAGTACCACAAGCTCTAGACTCTGTGGTATTTTAATCAATTCGAATTTTGGCTTGCATTCCATCACTTTTTTCGAAATAAATACCAGGCAACAAAACTCAGCCCATGTGTCCATCAAGAAGCTTTCTAACATGCTTTTTAAGTTCTAGCTGTAAGTTTACTTGGCTGTGTGGCAACCAGGCTCTGCTCATACCACCATCACTTGCATATTTTTGGCTAAAGTATATCATAAGAGGTCTATTGACTTTTTACTTAGCCTCAGTAAGTTCATCTTGCTCTAGTTGTAGAGGTGCTCATCAAACATTGTTCAAGGAGCATTCATCTGCTGTACTGCAGTTGTCGAAACTGGTATTCTCAAGAGAGCAGAGTTATTGGATTGAAGCTTAAAGTGCTCGTAAGTAAAAACTATTAGTTTTGTAAATTAATAAGAATTTTTTTTATTGAGTTATAAAGTTCACAAGAAAAAAATTTTTCCTTAAAATAATCAAACTTCAAACGGCAATATCTTTTAAACGGTTAGGTTTACGAAAAAATTTTACGCGACTTTAATTTGCAGAGCATTAAATTTCCTACAAAATCTATCAAACGAGATATTTTTACAGATAGTTGAAAGCGAGATATGAATTTTTCTATCTGATAATAAGAAAATAATGCAAAACTATAAAATAGGAACTTTCCTTTACAATTAAGAGCTCATACTTTTTCGTTTAGGTGTCTATGAACTTATTTTTTAGAGTACCATGCGAAAAAAGATATTCGTTTTTTTACCCACCCTAATATACATGCTCGTATATTAGAATGTTCCACTGTAACACCCTGTACTCTTCACTGATTAAATCTTGCGTGGTTTCTTGACAACATTTTCAATCAGTCAACAGAAAAATAAGTTCCAAGATTTATGTTCAGTTTCGAAACGAAATCATAACAGTAAAGTACTCAATAAGCGCTATGTAATTATATAAGCCGATAACGCAATGTGCTTAGATTTACAAGTATTACTAAACACAAAGAGCAAGAATTAGTTTTAACTAAATTATAATTTCTATCAGCGCAAACGCTATTCAAATAACGGTACTTAAAACAGTAAAAATTGCATGTTGTGAAAATGAACGCAACAAATTACCACACTTACCGCGGTCTCGCTTGCGCTTTCAAACAACTTGTGCTTATCATAATATTCAGCACTTTGGCACAGTCAAATCTAACGCCAACAACAATTGCAGCGGCACAAACTGTAACAACAATAAAACCTACTATAAACGCACAACAACAAGTCTATCACACTTGCTACGATGTGCGCTGTCAATGCAGCGGTTTTGTGCTTAAATGTTTTATGAAAGGCGTTACTATACTTATCGACAGTGGCGCGGCAGTGACAGGCAACGCGCGGCTCACCATAAGTTGTGCGGCGAATACAACTACTGAGGAAATACAGAAAGCGCAGTTCGCTTACAATTTTCGGCAGCACAACGTTAAATTTAATTTGGAAAATTGCGCGATATTGCCGGAAATATTAAAGCGCGCGCATATTAACTACACTGGTACTATCAAGTTCAATGGCGCTTTTCCAGTGCCTGCGCATTTCTTACACCAAGCAATTGGTTTGCAGCGGTTGCGCTTTGATTTGGTAATTAACAGCAATGCTGCAGATATTTTGCCGGCACAACTATTTCACAATCAAGGCGCTTTGAAGGAGCTCAGATTGATACTCTTATGCAAACCGCATGAGGTAGCGCTACCCACGCAAATATTCCATAGGCTCTACGCGCTGGAAGCGCTATTGGTGCGTGCTGTTCAAACTGATCTAGATGACATTACAAATACAGTGTTGCGCAGTTTGACATCTTCACATTTTCGTGATATATCGAATTTGCGTAAACTTAATTTGGATGGTAATTATATGCAAACAATGTCAGCTGAGCTCTTTGCTACGCTACCCGAGTTAAACGAATTGACTTTGAGCTTAAATAACTTGGCGGCGCTGCCAAGCGGTCTGCTGCGCGTACAAAGTAAACTGATAAAGCTTATTCTTGCTGGCAACATGTTGCAGTCGCTACCGCCTGGTTTCTTCGATACGACGCCGCACTTATGGGAACTTGATTTGAGCGACAATCAACTTTATATACCTACAAATATTATTACAGCTATCAAACCACTGCGTTATCTGTACCGGCTCAACTTACGTTACAATAAATTTTCGAGCATTGAGGGCGTTGATGCGTATGAAAATCGAACACTACTCACGCGCCAGAATATTAGTAACATTAGTGGCGCGCCGCCCTATTTTCAATACTATTTAGCGCAGCTGTCGAGTAAGCGATATGCGCAGCCATACAATCTGACTATAATCAACCTAAGTCATAATCGTATTGAAACATTTCATTTACGGAGCATCAGCGCCGCTACTCTTAAATGTCCATATGAGCTGGATTTCACAAATAATCAAATAAAGCATATCTACGCGCTTAGTCACCCAGAACGCAGTCAAGGCGACTGTACGCGCAAGTTACTATTGCAGTTCAATCCATTGCAGTGTGACTGCGCCTTAGCTTGGATCCACAGCATGAATTTCTCGATTGCGACTAACTGGGAGTGTATTAGGCGTGATGGTGGCATTTATGTATATTTACTTGTACAGCGCGCTATGTGCGCCTGGACGCCGAAATTTTGTCCCAACGCCTGCAACTGTCGCTATGACGCGCAAGCATTGCATATCAACTGTACGCATGCGCTATTGGATAGCCTTACACAGCTGCCGCGTCCAGCGCAGGTTTATTTGACGCAGAGCACGCTGGATATAACGCACAACCGCTTTTTTGAATTACCTTCGAATCTGACTTTCGGTTATGCTAATGTCACACGCTTGCATGCTGCACACAATCGCCTAGAGAATATACAAAGCACGCACTTGCCGCCGCAGTTGCAACTGTTGGATGTACGAAACAACCGTTTGGCGCGCTTAAGCAAAAGCTTCATATTACGCTACCTCAATGAAAGCACAACTTTGCGACAGCTTTACCTCTCCGAGAATCCATGGCTTTGCGACTGTGAGGCTGAGCAATTGCTAAACGCGGTGCACGCGCATCGTAAGCGTATACCCGACGTGGCGCTTTTAGCTTGCGCGAATCTGCAGAATACCAGCTTGCTGCAAGCGCGCTACACAGATGTGTGTGTGCCAGCAGCAGTGCAACGTTTGCGCTTGTTATGGCTACTTTTCAGCTTGTCGCTAGCAGCTATTGTGTTAATTAGTTTATTAGCGCTTTACTATAAATATACTTTGCAGCTACATGTGTGGCTATATGCGCACGATATGTTTCTATGTTGCATACGCGAACATGAGTTGGACAAAGAAAAAACATTTGATGCATTCATATCATATGCCCATCAGGATGCGCCTTTTGTTAATGACATTCTCTTGCCTGGTCTAGAGCAAAGTGACCAAAAATTTCGCGCGTGTACGCATGAACGCAATTGGCTTGCGGGCGCTTACATACCCGAACAAATTATTGAGTCAGTCGCCCAATCGCGTCGTACAATAATTGTGCTCTCGCAGTATTTTATCGCATCGGATTGGGCGCGCATGGAATTTCGTACGGCGCACCAATGCGCTTTAAATGAAGGACGCGCGCGCATAATTATTATAAAATATGGCGAGCTTACCGATCTCACGATGATTGATAAAGAGTTGGGCGCCTATTTGGATATGAACACCTACTTGGAGTGGGAGCAGCATCCTTGGTTTTGGAGTAAGCTGCGTTACGCAATGCCACATCGCAAGGGAGAGGTGCGGAATGCCGGCATGCTTGAGTTGAATGAACGGCAGAGAGTTTATGTTATTGGCGAAGTGGAGCTGAATCGACTGCGTGGACGTGATGGATAGTATATATTTACACCTGTGGATGTTAGGCTCATACAAATTATACAGAATTAAAGTATGACATTTATTTTCTGTTTTGAAATTAAACATATATAGTGGTAAATACTTTTAATAAAAGTTAAAATTTTTTTAAACTGTTACTATCCCCAAATAGATGTAATATTTTTTCCTGTGCTGTACTATTTACACGCCGTGCAGGTCAACTCCTTGTTTTGCGTCACATATTTGTTTTTTCATGATTTTCTTTGTTTTAGAAAACTGATAGCTCTAACTAATATGATTTGATTTTAGGGCTACTGAAAACTACTTTCCAAAACCTGTTCAAGTTGTTGTTTTCATTTTTCACATAAATTTGTGAAACACTTATAGACTTTAGCCTCCTTTGTCGTAATTGGTTCAAAATGTTGGGTACATCTGTAGCTTAGTCATGGACTTTAAGCTAATAGTTGGAGAAAACAATATGGTGAGGTAATGGAGATTAACTTGATGAGTTTGTAAAAAACCACAGCCCATACCTTGTAACGGCATTGTTTGATACTACGAAAACTCGAAAAGTAAAAATTCAGAAAGAAGCTTGACAATAAATTTTAAAAGCTGACATCTGGGCGCATATCTGAAAAGCCTCTCATAACAAATTGTGTCAAATTTGATTCACAAAACCAAGCTATTTACATCATAACGCTATTTTGAATTCCGTTCTAAGAACTTACCTGGTACCAGCAAACTCTAACCTCAATTAATGAGAAAATGAAACTCGAAGCATATAGTAGAGCTAATACGACAACATTTTCTTCAAAATTTAGTTGAAAAAATAGTGCATATTTGCCACTGACTTCTAATTACTGAGTATGGACCTTCACCCTTCCTCAGAAGTGGCTACTATCAAGGTGGCAGTAGACATACTTCTACGAAGTGCAGTCTCTTTCTGGGAGGTGAGGATTCACTCCGACAGCAGAGCGACAATACTAGCGCTGAGCTCGCTAACTGTGAACCCAAAGCCATTTTAGGAGTGTCTATTCTCACTAGAAATGGCATCAGTTGTCCAGCTTTTGCAAGATTAAAGTTGAAATATCTCGACAGTCTTATCTTCGACGTCTCAAAAAATGTGTGATAGGCTGAAAGCGCTTTGCCGATTTGAGCGGATCTCATGATCAATTATATAGAAGTTTTAAGTATCACAACGGACCGGGGGTTGGTATACGGGATCACTAAAAAGTATTTGGTAAAAGCATTAAGCTTGGACTAGTTCAATTTGGTACCAAAAATGGGTGTGATTGCTCCATATATTCCCTAGCTCCCTTAGACCGAAAAAAATATTTCCTTTGATCTGCTTTATTGTAGACCCCACTGATCGGTCAGTATGTAGATATCACATAAACTAAGCAAATACGTTGGCTCCACCCTGAAGTTCCACCCAGAAGTACCAATATAGCTTCACATAAACAACTATAGCAACCGTATCGTGGCCGTAACCCCCACCCTGATATTCTGCGTGAGCTCTCAAACATCACGTATCAAATCACTTAACTTGCGTCCCGTTGTTTTCCCAACGTCAATTTCCGTAAAATGATAACAACAATAACAATAGTAAACCACAACAAACGGACAACAAACGAAACAAAGGTAGCGGAGGCGGTCAATGAAAGCATACAAAGCCAGGCGCCGAACACAATGGATAGAAGTAAAGTGGTGCGCGTGAGGTTACAGCAACCAACTGCTAGCATGATGACCCAACAATTGTGGCACACATAGTGAACATGCAACAGTCCAGTGCGTACAAATCAATTGTCTGCGTTTGGCTGATTTGCCAAGGAGAAGCGATAAAAAATGGCTATTGAAAAATTGTGAAAACAAAAAATCAAAGGAAATGAATTGAAGGGTGGACAGCAGACCACAAAAATTGGAAGGAAGGAGTGAACAATGCGCCGCACGAACAGCTGCCTACTGGCGGCATGCAGCACCGAACAGCAGCGCGCAACATACGCACACATATAGACAGGCGCGCACACGCATACATACAACTAGCTTTCGCCGAAGTCTACTTTCAGGCAGCGACGCTTTCGTAATCGCATATTCAATTGCTGTGGTCAATCGCTTGTATTCAATAATGTTGCACGTGCTTCAAATTTTGAATATGTTGTTTTTTCTTTGCGCTTACACTTTGCTAACGCTACTTGCTGCCGGGCGCTATTCATTTGCTAAGGCTATTTTTGTTTTGCATTTTTTATTTTTTATTTTATTTTTTGTTTTGTATTTTTTATTTCCTTTTTTTCGCTTTGTTTGCACATTTTTCATGCCACAATTTGCTGCTATCTAGTTGCGGCTTTCCTGCGCTGTACTGTGCGTGCGTTTCATTATCATATCATTTGTTTTCATTTTTATTCGCCGCTGGCCACACAGTTCGATGTCGAATGTCATTTGTAAATGGCATGTTATCAATTTTCAAGATGATTGAATTGACCTTTTTTACCCAAAGCGTCAGGGGAGGCATAAATTGGACGCGTGGGTGTGGCAGGGTAAAGGTATTAATAAAACTGGGAGCATTTAATAGACAGCAATAAATTTTTCTTACGAAATTTTGCTAAGCGGAGCGCCATAAATATCAAGTTAAGACGTATAATATATGAAAGTGATTTAAAATAATTTTTTTAGCCTTAAAAAATTCATAAATTCTCTTACGCTAACTAAATAAATGTATTTTTTTATCGAGTTTAGCCAAATTTATTATGAATGAAAAATAACTTTCTGAGAGTGAAAGAATTATTAATATCAACGTTCGAGCAGAGACTTGCCTTAATTTAACTAGTAGCATGGAAAACTCACCACAATAATTTAGGTAGTACTAAAAATGTCACAAAACTTGGATTTAGCAGCAATCGGGTATCACATTATCTTTAATTCGACTTAACTTCTCGCCAAGAAGTGGAAATTCGGATTCTGTTCATAAAAATCAATATACTCAGTACCGTATGATACAGACCATTTATACGGTAAGTCGCTCTTTCTACCTACAGCAAGCTAAAAGGCATTGCTAATGACCACATTTGAGGAGACAAATAGTGGATGTTCGAGAGAAAGATTATACGACACAATCTATTTGTTATCGACGAAAACTTAGAAATTTGGTACTTTGTAGACTGGTTGGAAAATTAAAATGGAAAATCCTCAATATAAACGCGATATTGTCTTTATAGTTTAAAAGTCTCCCAACCGACCAATAGCTTCACTCATAAGCGTGGACACTAATAACAACAGATAATGAAGTAGTAGTTAATAGTGTAGAATATTTCCGCAATATTTTGTGTCTTGCTGCAGTTTTTTTAGTCCACGAATTAATAATTATTCAGTTTCATTTCATTTGTAATGCCCAGCTTCGGTCTTCCACTGTCAGGGTACACAAACCCCGTTTAACTACTGAACGGAGCAGTCAATATGTAGCGATTTGAACTACTTCAAGAACTTAATTCTAAAATTGTAGAAATAAATTTAAAGCTTCAACACACGAGTTTGCGATCTAATTTTTGTTGTAAAGTAACTTTTCATCAAAAAACTATCAATAAATTTTTTGAGTTTTGACTCCGTCAAATTAGTCAAGACAACCACCTTGGGTACGACTTTTTCTTCCTCAACCTAAATTGAAGACAATTTTGCAGTTCTAAATCATGTTTTTTAAAATTCTTATCAGATGATTTATAAGTACTATTGAAATTTTAAAAGTAAATTGAATAAGAACATTGAAATTGTGATAGTTACTGAAATCGCGAAGCAATCCTGAAAATGAAATTTCGATCGGTTATTATTGTGTCAATAAACACCGCTAGATTTAGCGTAGACACCCACCTCTAATTGTAGTCTGATAATCGCATAAGTGTATGACATTTTAATATTTTCAATCATGATTCCTTTAACTCCTTTTAGACATAAACCAAGATGTGCGGTGTTCCTAAACGTACTGTAATTTTTTATATAGTAATCGCGCTGCTCTTTTTTCATCAAGCACAACCATTCAGAAAAACAACAAACTCAAAAATCATAAATAGAAGAGATATCGATACAGATTGCGATATTGGAGGTTGTGAGTGCATTGGAACTGCTGTGGTGTGTCAGCTAAAGGATTGTAGTGTAACTGGTCTACAATTTATGGGCGTACGCAGCATAGAAAATGCAACACTTGTAAATAACTGCACATTAAAAGCACGCACAAAATACTACAACCAGTTCGCGCCACGCTTAAGAGTAGCAGTGATTAAAAGCTATATTAAAACCGCCGAATTTACAATGGAAAATTGTCTGCAAACGCCAGCGGCGCTGCGGCAGAAGGAACTAAACTATAACGGTACAATAGAGTACGACAAACTTAGCGATGCCGAAGCAGGAGAAGATGTTTATTTTCAAAATTCGCACAACTTATGGGAACTAAAGCATATAAGCGAAGATGCTAGAAGTGGTGAACTAACCGCGCAGCTAATACTCGATTTGGATCAACTTAAGGAACTAGACCTAACAGCTAACTGCACAGGTGGTGTCAATATAATTCCCGACGATTTATTACATACATTAAACACGCTAGAGACGCTGCGCTTTCACATTAACGGCGCAACGCCAACGCCACAATTGACGGCGTCGCATTTCCGCGATTTAAGCAAACTCAAAATATTACGCCTGGATAATAATAGCTTGCGCAGGCTTGACGCGTATATTTTTCGACCAGTATTCAGGTTGGAGCATTTAAATTTATCGCTGAATGCGCTGGAGACGCTGCCCGCTGATTTGTTAATGGCGCAATATAAACTAAAGATGTTGGATTTGAGTTACAATAAATTAAAATCACTTCCGCGCCACTTATTTAAGAACGCAGCGGGTTTAGAGGTATTGCTGTTAGCGCACAACGAACTCAGCATACCCAATAATGTTATAGAACATGCGCTGACTTTATACAATATGCGTGAATTCGATTTGAGCTACAATCACTTGCGCACGCTACGCGGCACGGGTTTGTATGCAAATAAAACGATTTTAACGCGTCCGATACACACACGTTTTAGCTTCTATTCCGCTTTAAACTTACATGTTAATTTAAGTCACAATAACATCAGCGTACTCAGTTTCGACTGGTTAGAATACATTACAGATTGCTACTACACTTACGATTTGTCAAATAACAACATCACGCATGTAACGTTTTTAAGACATCCCGGAGTAAATATGGTGCGCTGTCTGCGGAAATGGTTGCTTGCCAATAATCCGTTACATTGTGACTGTCAGTTGGCTTGGTTAATAAATAACGGTTATCAATTTCATACTCATGATTGGCGCTGCACATTTCCGAAACATTTGTCAATGCGCGCGCTAAATGCCGTTAATAGCAGCGCTCTCTGTAATTGGTCACCTTCTTGGTGTCCACACAAGTGCACCTGTAGTTATGATACTGACGCGCTTTTAGTTAATTGTACTGAAGCGCAGCTTTTGGAGGTACCAAGCATACCGCGCCCGGAACAAGTTGGCCTCAGTACTACAACGTTAAACATTAACAATAATAAATTGTACGAACTGCCGTTGCATACAAGTTTTGGCTACGCGCAAGTAACGCACTTGTATGCCGCTTTTAATAAGCTGACCAGCATAAATACAACGCGCTTGCCGCCTAACTTAACAGTATTGGATGTGCGCGCTAATAAACTAGAGCGCTTGAGCAACAATTTTTTACTTAGCTATGTAGCAGCAAGTAAAACTTTAGAAGAACTGTATATCTCAGCCAATCCTTGGATTTGCGATTGCGGCGCTGAGCTGCTATTGCGCGTCGTGCGCACCCAACGACAGCGCATACCTGACGCAGACGCAGCGCTTTGCGCCAATCTACCAAATGTTACACTTACCAACGTCATTTTTACAAATATTTGCCACGTCAATAAGTCGCATAGCAAAATATTTCTGTTAGCGTTTTTGCTTACGCTTGTTATCACTACGCTAGTTGGCGCCATTGCATTTTACTACAAATACAAACTACAAATAAAGATTTGGTTATATGCGCATCACATATTTCAGTGTTGTATTACAGTAGAGTCACTGGATAGTGATAAAATGTTTGATGCTTTTATATCATACTCGCATCAGCAACAACACTATGTTAATCATATATTGCTGCCGGAGCTTGAGCAGGGCGATCCACCATTTCGAATTTGTACACACGAACGCAACTGGTTAGCGGGCGCTTATATACCCGAGCAGATTATTGAATCTGTTGAGCAGTCACGTCGTACGATCATTGTTCTGTCAGATGATTTCATCGCGTCGGATTGGGCGCGCATGGAGTTTCGCATGGCGCATCAGAGCGCTTTAACTGAGCGACGCGCGCGCATAATTATCATAAAATATGGTGAGCTTACGAATGTAACACATTTGGATAAGGAACTGCAGGCCTATTTGAAAATGAACACATATCTGGATTTTAACGATACGCGCTTTTGGCAAAAGCTGCGCTATGCGTTGCCGCATAGAACCGTTGTAGCTAGTAAATTGGATCAGCCTGAAGGACAGAGGCCTATTAACTTTATTGGGCAAGATAAGTTACTTATTCGGACATAATATAATAAAAAAGTAGTTAAGAAAAATTTAAGCATTAAAGTAGATTTGATAGATATATTAATAAAAAAGTGCGAATATTTTGATGGTCTCACTTTTCTCAATAGGAATAAATTTGCAAGGTAAGCTTGATCATTTTATGTGCTTTATTTTTTATCGAATAGTCTTAAAGCACCCAACCTCGCCTGTCAAAGAGAGCTGCGACTACCTGGGTTCATTCATTATTTTGACCAATGACCAATATGCTAGAGAGCTGGTTGGAAGAAAACTCTCATATGGTCTCATCTTCAATGACGACTAACTTTTGGAGTTTCAACAGTTATTTTATTACAATAATACGATAAGGCTGTTTATTTGATTCTATGTGAATCGCTTGAAGCCCTAAATAATCCAAAGCTAAGTAATGTGTAGAGTTTAAACCTTAGACGAAAAACATAAAGGATTGTCGAAACTTCGAAAAAGGTAGTTAAAAGAGAAGACGTAAATAAAACTCAGAAAAGGGGACTCCCTAAGATAAGACGGCTTGATTAAGCAATCTTCGAAAAGGTTTCCTTTCATCTAAATTGCGGAAACTTTGAAAAGATGAATTCAAGAGAAGCGACCTCAAAAAGTTAGTATTTTAAGAGGAATCGCCACAGTTGTGAAACTTTCAATATGGGTACCTCTAAAAGAGGTTATGTCTGAGGGGTCTTCGAAATGGAGGTCTGATTAAAGGAGACTTTATGACTAAGATGTTCATAAAGCGGACTTCCTAACGGAAAATGTCAATAAAAAAATCTTCGAAACGAGCTCTTCGGATGCGTCATGGCTAATTGATATTCCGAAAATACCTTTTCTGAGGTGATGTCATCATTAAAGGATATTTAAGTTGGGTCTCCTAAAAGGAAATGAGATGAACTTTAATGTCTATTTGATCTCCTTGTAAATGATTTAAGAGAAACCATATAGTATTTTAGGGTCAGTACGTCATGCCTTCAGAATACACAGGTTCTCTGGTTTTTTAGGCCAAAGGTAAGTCGCAGTGCACAAAAAGGATTCTGGGAAAGGAGACTTTCCGTTCTGCTTCCTAGTGAACTTGTTGGATAGCTCATACTACAAATTTATAGAAAAAAAGTATAATGACTTAGTTTTTCTTAAAGCTGACTCATTGATGGTATAAAAAAACTTATCGAAAAAAAAATAATTATCGATATTTTCCCTATAAAAATTATCTTATATTTAGTCATATTTTCCGGAGTGTCTTCCAAATATGTTGCATTCTCTTCGTGCTTCAAGATTCTAAAATCCTTTATACTTGCGACCAGTACTCACTCCCTTGAAAAGCATAAATTCATATAAAAATATTAAATGGCATTAAATACCGTTATCACAAATCATTACTCGAGCGAAAACATAAAATTCCATTTATTCTTGATCATACTTTAGTGTACCTATCATACTAATTGCAAAATATTGGCCTCAAATGCCCTTCAAGTTACGCCGCCTGCTAGGAAGGGTGTAGCAATAATAATCATAGAAATTATTAGAAATTATGACAATCATATTTACTTTTGGCAATTTGCGCTTCCTGCTAGTTTGCCATAAACAACTGAAAAAAGAGAGAAAAAACAACAAGTATTATGTAACGGTGCAGCGAGCATAAGCGACGCTGATTGCTAACAAATAAAAATGTTCGCCAAATCCTCGAATTTATAGATTTCTGCAATAGGCCGGTAATGGACAGCGTCAGAGCATGCCAATGCCACATAAACACATACATACAAATAGCAGAGCCGACCAAGCACAAGCATAAACAGTAATCAAAGGACACGAGAAAGAAGTTAGCTTGACAGGGGCTAGTTGCGCGGAAACAAGTACATAACATAGTAGTTCCTAAAATACTTATGTATTTATATGTAATTCGCATACGCGCCGACATGTATGCTACATAAATTGTCATAATTGAGCGGGAGTGGTTAGTTGTTAGTTAGTTGTTGTAAAATGTAAGAAAACTGTGGCGTTGGCTATGTTTATATATTGTAATATGTATAAAAATGAGGATATGCAAGTTGTAAGCAAGTATGTACATCAAGTCAGTTCTACCAGAAGCTAATTAGTTTATTCGAATTTCAAGTACATATGTTCCAATGCCAATATGTTCCATGTTTTATAAACTATTTAAAAGCCTGTATTTTCCCAGTTACATTGAATTTTAAATAGTTTCAAGTTGCATGTTCCGATTCCATATTGTCCCTAACCTTAAAAAATCCGATTATTGTATTTATATGTTAGTATCTATATTTATCCAAATAAATGGGGTTTTATTCGGGAATATCCTTCCAATTCCAGTTTCTTTCAAATACCAAATAAATATTGTTTTTATGTTTCTATGAAAAAATATATAAAAAAGATCTACATTTAATTTTATTCTGTTTGATATTCCATATCGCTCCAATATCTTTGAAATTTTCAAAACGCGAAATTGGGTTCATTTAAATATTGAACTAATATTTAAAAAAAATTCCATTCCGTTCCAAATGCACTGTATCCTTTCTTAATTATTTGTTAGGCTGCTTTGTGTTCACTACAAGAAAGTTTCATTGAACTTTTGTAAAATTACTGTGCGGAATCCAATATATTCCTTACCTGGTATTCAATTTTTCCTTGGATTTTATGATTGTGTACCATTATATTTTACTTTCTTTAATTTTTTCTGTGTCTCAGTTGAATTCCGATCCTAAGGCAATTATTATTAAGCGATTGTATAACATTCAGACTTCATATTCAAAATTATTAACAATTTCTCCACATCATTTTGATCTCATTCATTCCATTCTATTACACTTTTCTTCATTTATGTTAACTTGTTCCAGTTTAGAATGGTTTTTAGTTCTCAGCATGTGGTATCAAGTTTAATGTGAAAAAAGTAAAAAATTACATAAATAATGTTATTTTGTTTTAAGTTCCAATTCCATTTTCAATATATTATGTTGTGTAAGCTTTATTATATAAAGTGTAATAGTTAACGGTGATAAGTCTCAAATTGGTTTCAATACTGTTTCAGCACCACTTCAGTATTCTATTTTGATTTTCCAGCACTCAATTTCATTTCGTTCCTTTTAATAAAGTATATTTTCAAACAGATTGACAATCATTCTCTTTTCTGCGCTATATTCAACATTATTTTAAATTTTTATGTTCCAATTCCATTTTGTCCCACGAATATATATTTTCGCTTCGTTTTTATATATTTATTTAAGAATAAGATTAACCGATTTTTGTTTCATTTCAGTTACGTTTCAATTCCATTTAGTTCCTTATGGTTTTTAAAATTACTACACTTAACAATAATTTGGTAATTTCAACAAAATTTAGAATACTTTGATGTTTTATCAGTCGATACAAATTCGTTTCTTAGTACTGTAGTTCAATGTTTCAATTTCTTTCGTTTTTACTAACTTTTTTGAACATTTTCTTGCATTAACTTTTCTGCATCACTGTTTCCAGCTTGTCGCTTTTTTGTACATTTTTATTGCTCGCCATTGCCACCCTCCCCCACAACGCTGCCACATTAGGCGAGTCAACTGCCTCGAAGTCAAATAAAAAAGAAATAAAAGTGTCGAGTGCATTATTGCCGAATTGCTGCGCGACATTGGCGCTGATAATTTCCCAGCATATGAAAAGCATACGCACACACGCTCTCGCACTTTCACTGGCACTCACGTAACAGTATGTAGTTACAACTATATGAGTAGATATATTTTCATACATAAATATTTAGTGCGCATCTCTACAGCATCTGCACCATATTGCCGCTTACTGATTTTTGTTACTTGCATTTACCACGAAATACCCATACTTTACCATTAAAATCTTGCTAGTTTTATTATTGTCACATGTACTCATATAATTTTTGTTTTTCCTTTTATTTTTGTTGTTGGTTTTGTTCTCCGCTGTTCACTTGCCATACGTGTCCTTTGTGCCTGACGCTATTATTTTGCACTTACACTAACATGATCATAAATATTTTTCTATGATATTTTATTGATACTCCGACCTAACAATGTTTGCCGCCAGCAACACTCACACACATACTCTATACGTGTTACATCCTTACACATATTCAATATAGTCGCATGTGTTGTAATTATTTGTTGCCTTAACGGTCGCAGCTGTTGGTCGTTTTATGTAGGCACAGGTCGCCTGAGTTGTCCAACGTCTTCAAATTGTCACACAAAGGCGCATAAAGTGCCGTTAAGAGTGCCGCTAAAGCCGCGCACACAACTACAGACAAATCTATGTATATGTATTTGTGTGTGTGTGTTTTCTTGTAGCTTTTTATTGTCCTTCGCGTTTGTTGTTTGCACGCTCATGCTAGTGTTGGCAGCCATAATTGTTTGTTTCGCCTGCATGTCTCTCAGTATATTTCATGATAATTTGTGTTGTTGTTTTTGTTTTTTGTTTTCTACGTTTGTTGCGCTGTCAAAAAGCAATAATCATCAATTTTGATTTTTTCTCTCTTGTATCGTGAATGATTTTCTCTACTTAATAGCTTTTCGCTGCTGTTCTTTTTCCGCCATTCGATGGCCTTGCTGAGGGCCATTTTATTTTGCGTGCATTTACAATATTTGATTTCAATTTGATGAGTATTTATTGTGAGCGCAATGTGTGATACATACTCATACACGCACATATTAATGTTAATATTATTACCAAAACCACTGCAGACTCGTTTAGTAAAGCTTACGCCTATTAAACGAAGCCATTACTCAACTCTTTGCGAACCAAATTAAGAATGTTTTCAGCACTAAGCTCTCATAGCTCTTTGTACTTTTCCTTAAAAGCAGAAGTAAAGGCGTGCGAAGCACCAGCGCTTCTTACTGAAGTTCTCTGCAACACCGCCTTTCAATTTCGCTTACCTACCGACACCTTTAGGTCCATGAAACCTTTTCTTATAAATGGTGGTATACTTTTTTTAATTGTTTTTTTAAACGGCCAACCCTCGGCTACCAATATTACACCTGGCAGAATCCTTCAGCCCTAAAAAAACATCTCATAAAATCAAATAACCACACGGATGTCATTTTAACTTGTAGCTTAA